TTTTTTTAAACACTAATGTAAAGCTAAAAGAATAAAATAACATATATATATATATATATATATATATATATAACTTTGTTTTTAGTTCTCTTTTATTTTTACTGAATAAATAATTTCTATAATTAAAGACCTTGCTAATTTTTTAGCTTCAACCATATAAATTATGTATGCTAAGTTTAGCTAAATGAAAACGGTTTATATTTAAACGTTTAATGAAGAAAAGAAATTCACTTTAAGTTTGTTTATCATTTTTATTAAAATAAAATGACAACCGATAAGACTGATTTTGTGTATTATGTTTTACATTATATCATACGGATACAAAATAGTGAAAATACGCATTAGGTGATTTTATAGTTTATTTTATCTAAACAGTTCTACAATAGTATTTTTTTTAATTTTTTTTTCTTTAAAGTATTTACAATATATTCATTATATATATATATATATATATATATATATATATATATATATATATATATATATATATTAAACAGACAATTTTTATAAAAAATAATATATATATATATATATATATATATATATATATATATATATATATATATATATATATATATATATATATATATAATGTCAAAATTAGGTCCTAAGACTCCTTACATTAATCTCTTTATAAGTTTTAAAGTTCCGTTTAAACGATATGTTACACATGATTTTTTTATCCCATTAACATTTTACTAATTGATAATTCATTCTTTTAAATGTTTAGAAAACATAACAAAATAAATTATATAAGTACATAAATAATACGAGCAACATTTAAAAAAAATAACATTATATAAAAGAAAAAAAAACATAAAGGATTTAAAATGAAAACTCATGCATAAGGGCCAATTTTAAAATTTAAAGAAAAGAGCACTTATAATTTATTGACTTAAGAGTCTATTATCAATACAATGATGCAAATGTCTATTATCTATACAATTATCTAAAGTTGAGCACGTGACTCGGTGAAATCGTTCCCGATGAGAAAAAATTGGATTTAGGTTATTATGCCTGCTTCTCTATTACCAACTAAGTCGGGTTTCGGTAATTCGATTATCGATCTGGTTTGTACCATGTCTGAAATATACTATTCGTCGCCGCTAATCATCATAATGAATTAATCACCATCTGATAAAATGTTTGTGTTATGCCCTGATTACAACATCAGGTTTTGCAGCTGCTAACTAAGTCGCCTAAAAATTCATCCAATCCTAATAATCTATGTTGTTCTTTTTCATAACCATCTAATAATCAAAACATCATCAACATATGGTGTAGTGACGTTACCTTAACCCATTAAGTAAACAATTTATGTTAATGATTTAACCCTTGAGTTCCATTTATTGTAATATCGAAAAAAAATGTTAATGAAAATTAAAAATGATCTATTTTGAAAATAAAATATTGAAAGTAAAATAAAATTAAAATACTCAACCTAAAAAATAAATTAACGACCGGGTTATTTTTTAAAATAACCAATAATATACCCACAAAAACTAAGTTTCGGTATTTTTTACAAAAGAATCATCTATTTCACAAAAAATGTTCCCCAATTAATTGTAATATTAGTTTTTATAGAATGAAATAGACCCTTGACGAATTCATACTGATAGTTGTCTAAATCGTCGAAATGAATCTAACCTCAGCATGCCACATTGTGGGTCGAGACCGGATCGAAAAACCTGAATTCAAACCGAAACAACAAACGGAAAGTATCATTAGACCAAATTGGTCTAGAACGAAACCGGTTCGAAAATAAATACATATCAAAATGAAATAAATTGCCAGAAACAAGTTCAAAAGTAAAAACATGTGATAATATCATTGATGACGTAATAGTTGTTACGCAACATGCTGGAAAGATGATATTTTTGCCAATGATTTCTCTCTGCCTGAAGATGACATGTTCTCATTCAAGCTAAAAAGAAAACAATTCCCAATTCGATTATGGTTCGCAATGATAATTGATAAATCTCAGGGGTAAACAATTCAAAATGTAGGTATTTAACTTCAAGAACCGGTTTTCTCACATGCCAACTTTATGTGACATTATCAAGAGGGATATCATGTACTAATATTGAAGTATTAGTAAAATCTGACAAACAATTTACGACGATGAAGTTTATATATCAAATGTGGTATATAAAGAAGTGTTAAAGGATTAATAATGCGTAATAAATTATGTGTTCATGTATATTTGTAAAAAATCCCAACTATTCACTTTTAATTCTTATTGATTTTGTTTGTGCTAGCATGACTCTTATTGATAAATGTTTAGATGTAATCAATTATTTGTGCAAAATAACTAATCGTTTCTAGAAACTAATATATGAAAAAAAAACTATTCGTACCCGTCGCTTACCGTGGGTACACGGCTAGTGTATATATATAGTCAAGATCAAATAAGAATGAAATTTTTGGTAGGAAGGTAAGAAATTTTTTTTCTATATATTTTTTTTTCAAACAAACAAAATGAATCATTAAATGATTTATTTGTAAGGTGATTCACAAGAAAAAATTCTCAAAAAAACATCTCGATGATTTATTTATACAATGATTTTGTTGTTATTTACTAAAATTATCATAAAAATGAATTTTTTCTTAATTTACTTAAAAATGAATCATAAAGATGCTTTTTTAGGAATTTTCCTTTTGAATCATCTTACAAATGAATCATCTAGTGATTCATTTATTTTGTTCGTCAAAAAATATGTACAAAAAAAAACTTTTTACCTTCTTATCTAAATAAACTTCTTACCGGATCTATATATATATATATATATATATATATATATATATATATATATATATATATATATATATATATATATATATATATATATATATTGTAGGATTCCAAGAGTCATGGGTAAACCCTAATCCATACACTTGGGTTATGATCCATATCTCATGTGGGCTAACTCTTATGGATACTCACATAAACTTAGCCCATCATGGATCAATAGCCTAAACACTATATATCACTGATTTACATAATCAGTCCCCATTAATTTAATTAGTCTCTTTTCATCACTAAATTAATTCCAAATTAATTCTTGATAAATACTAGTTAAATATTATGATTTCACAATTAATTCTTGATCAATACTAATTAAATATTATGATTTCATAATTAATATATTATACTTTTAATATATTAATAAATCATAAATAACCTCTTTCTCAAATATCCATCATGTCAGATTCTTCTGGTGATGGGAACCCAAATGGATCATGCTACTCTCGGGTCATGTACATACCAATTATAGTTATATGCTTAGACACCTAATCCAACACTAAGGTATGTTGTTAGTTTTGACGAAAGTACCATCCCTATTATCTTTGGTGCCAGCCCCTACACATAGCACTCCACTTTCTTTCTTTTTGGTTTCACCATGCCGGGGTAGAGGACTGCAAGTTCATTAAACCTTGTAGTGTAGCCTTTGACATTGGACCTCTTCATTTTCACATTCCATAGTTCATGCTCCAATGCTTGTACTTCATCATGTGGACAATATTCCTCTATTAAGAGTGATTTCATGTTTTACCAAGACATTGAGTTAGCAACTATGACACCCTTAGCCTTGACATGATCAGTTTACAATGTCAAAGCCCCATCCATAAATGTGTATTCACAATAGCTCACCATGTTGCTGTCAAGGCAGTAGCATATATATAAAAACGCTTTAACCTTCTCAATCCATTGACTTAGTCCCACCACACCTTCATTCCCATAAAATTTTCTTGGCTTCCAATTAATGAAATGCTTATAGGAACAATTTCTTTTAGGCACATCTCGGTGTGAGTGAAGTGTGCTTCCAAGCCCATTTCCCAGTCTGTTTACCTAGACTAGTGGCCTTCCATTGTCTAAACTTCTATTAGTTGTCATTGTGATTGTAATACGTTTCGATATTAGTTGTTCTAGTTCTGCTGCAGATTGTAGAAGTCCTGACTCAGGAGGTGGTGTCATTAGAGTGCTAGAAGTTAGGGTTTTAGCTACTGGAGTCGATATTGTTCTTGTTGCTTGTAAGCCTCTTTGGGTTCATCTGGTAGTTGGTGTTAATCTTGGGTGTAACCTGTAAATTTCTTTTTGGAGGCATTTTTGATCTCCTATTTAGTAATAGAGGTTAATTTTTCAATGTCTAATAACAATTTGTAATATTAGCATTTAAACACACTATTTATTCAATAGTTTAGACAAGTTCCAACATATAAACATAGTAGGCATCGTTATATTAAATAATATTATCTAATTACAGTTTGTCCATATGGTGTACCAAAATATAAGGACCTATCGCTAGTGGTACCAATTTTTATTTTTATTACATACCACAAAATCATAGTTATCATATGCTTACATAACCTAACATATCCAAAAGTTTTTCACCAAAATTTGAAAGTTTCTCAAAAACATGCCCTAATAATTTAATAAAAGCTCAAAAATTTAGCCAGCGTATTGGACATATCATCATACTTTCCTTGTAGAATTTCGTGCTTCTCCACTAGTGCTTCGTGACTTTCTTCTAAGATTGCATGCCTCTCTTCTACTCTGTGTGATATTGAAAGGGTGATTTGATTTTGAGTCTCCATGTTAGACATTCTCGAGTTGCAATTCATCCAATTACTATGATGGTAGCCCATCGTTTGATGGAGATGTTCTTGCGAGATCTCATATTGAACTATTTTCTTTCCCATCTATGCTATTTATCCTTTCATTTGCACTGATTGTCCTTGCATGGTGCTCAATTTGTTGCTTACATGCCATACTTGTCTGTGCAAGAGGGTGTTCAACTCAAAGAGGGAAGACAAATCATCAATGTTCATGAACGATGGGGGTGCAACTCTTGACGCTTGTCCTTCTACAGTTCCTGATGCTTGTCCCTTTTCAAATGTTCCTGCATCCTACCTTTCAGTTGTCCATTGGTTTCCTTGGTTGTTTTCCCTAGAAGGTTGGTCTACCCTCTCTTGAGTGTGGGAGGACCACTTTTTATACTTCATGGAAACATATTTCCAGTGTGGAACTGAATTTCTAGCAGTTTTTTATGGGGCGGCGACAAGAAAATCCAAGGAAATAGCAGTTGGGAGCAGGTGGAGGTGAGGCGGATGATTCTGATTATCACTTCATTTTCATCATCCGCATCCATATCTTCTTCAGGATCTTCCTTAGATTCCTCCTCCATTTCTTCTTCTGGATCCTCTTCTAGATCATCTTCAGGTTCTTCATCCATTTCTTCTTCAGGCTCGATCTCATTGTATTGCATAGGTGCATGATCAGCTGGGTGAATGGTTGGTACCCTACCAGATATTCTAGAAAGTAAGGATCTCAAGGCATCATCGGTTACGTAGATTTGTCCACTGGTGACTGAATCATCATCCATAGTTCGTCCATCTAAATAGAAAATATTAATATTACAAATTTAAATATATCAATTTTATCTCATATAAACATTATATTATATAAATCCTTCCTGTCTATTTTGGTTTCCTTAAAACTCCAAGTTTCTAGTTTGTCAATTAATTCATTTAGGTTGGATAATGCACAAGGCCCGAACATAATAAAACTTAGGTGTGCAAGCTAGGTCTAGTTGTGATAAAGCCTATGTATTATGAAACCTATTTGATTAATTGACCTAAATTCCTCTGCCTTAAGTTTTTATAAAATTTGTTATACACATAGATGTGTTTTTATGAAATTTTATAAAATAAATAAGAAATATTAATTTATGTTTCATAAAATTCTATTTTTAAGTTTTTGTAGGATCGTAGTATATCTATGCCTACTTGAGTAACCCCTAGACTATAGTTGTATTTTTAGGAACAATACTTAGTTTTCTATAGTCGTTAGCTCCGATACCAATCTGTCACACCCCGACCAACGACGGAAAACATCGGGGTTGCATCGTTAACAACTGGATCACAATCAACTGTGTATATTGAACATTTAATTTATTTAAATTAGTATATTACACACGTTTTAATTCAGAAATAAAATTACATCATCATAATTTAAACACACAATATTGATAATAAAGTAAGTCAAGTTTGTCACAACAGAAAGGAAATATAATCACCTTGGAACCAATGTTTTACCTCGTCTTCTTAGTTACCTGACAATACACATTTTAAAATACGTTAACAAAAATTGTTGGTGAGTTCCATAGGTTTTGACCCCGTGAGTTTTATAAAAAGAAGTGGTTATAAAACGTGAAATATTTAAACAAATAGTTTGTGTAGAAATATAATCAACAAATTTTATTGATATATTTTGTGTGAGATCCAATACCTGAAATATGATACAAGTATTAATATACTTATATTGAATAAGTATGATTAACATATTTTGTGTAGAAAAATATTATGTGTTTATTTTATATAAATAAAGACTAACAATTACTTTATCGATTTACACAAGAAACTTTATAATACATACGATCTTAGTATAGTTCGTATTAGTATTTTGCATCTGGGATTTTTGTGAAACAATAACCAAACTATATTACTTGATCCCACCTCCATGAAGCACAATAAAAGGTTGGTGCTTGTTGTCCTAACGACGATTCGTCAACGTTGTGAATAAAAGTAAAAATAAAACAAGAAGTTGTCATCCGTTTTGTTTCATCAAATGAGGGTTGTAGCTAGCAACCATAGGCGGGATGTCAACCCGTATAGATCTATACACATATTCTTATCTCACAAAGGATTAACAGTTGTTACAGAGGACTTTACTAAGTTGCAATTCTTAGTTCGATGAATGAGAAACTTCCACAAAACTCTCTAGTTTATAGTTCAACAATTGTCTTTATTCGGAATGTTGTTTAAAAAAACCGAAACTATTTCCTACAAGAATCTTGACAGTACACCGACTTAACCAGTCCATGCCGATAATGACTTTTTGTAACAAAGGATATCAACACGATCGGGACTTAACCAGTCCATGCTGATAATGACGTCGAAGCTTTTTATGGAGACCAACATAAGGTCAATTGGGAAAGACTAGTCGTTTAATGTGAGGGTACAGCCTATATATATGTTGCCAGTGCTCTCTTTTTTCCTGTTAGCCATTTCGATAGTGAATGTTTCGTGTAGTGGTTGTGGTTTGTGTTTAAGTAAGTGCTTAAATTTATGGCTAACAAAGCTCCTCTTCACACCACTATCAAATAGTATGCATGCATAAGAGTTATCGAGAAGGAACATACCCGTGACTATTGTGGGGTCCACTATTGCTTCCTCCTGACCCATTGACATCACTCTTCCTATGTTTCCAACATTTCTTGCTTTCGGGAAATCCATCTTCTAGTGCCCCGCTTTCACCACACCCATAGCATGCTTGACTTACTCCTCTGTTAGGGGTCTGATTGGTTGGTTGGACTGGCGCCTTACAGAATCAGGATGTATGACCCTTTTTGCTTCAGTTGGTGCATTGCAACTCTCGACAAGGCCTATTATGGTGGAAGTTACATTTGTTTCATTTTGGGAGGTTCCCAATATATCGAATGGGAGGTGTTTGAGTATCATGAATAGTATCAGCATGAAATACTACAATTTGATGTTTCTTTAAAGACTCTTGAGATAACTGCCCTTTTCTTTTGTTCCAGACTTTCTTCTTTCCACTACTTTCCTTGGGCTGCTCAGGGATATGTGTCACAGAGTCTTGGCGATCACCATGATCTATTAGTGTCTGCACCAAACGCTTTGCACTATCGAATGTGAGTGGATTAACAACTAGAACATTTCCTTGAGTCGGGGGTGTCAATCCCCATATGTATCTTTCCACATTTTTACTCCCTGGGGTGACCATCTCGGGACACAGAAGAGCCAGGTCACTGAACATATGTGTATAAACAGCGATATTGGAGCCCTTTATCTTCAGACTCCATAGCTCCTGCTCTAGTTTTTGCATTTTGCCCCTTGGGTAGTACTCCACTAGCATTAGTTCTTTCAAATCATCCCAAATCATAGCATTGGCTATCGGGAGATTCAGGAACTTAACTTGGCTGTTCCACCAAGTGAGGGCTCGATCTGTCAAAGTGCATGCTACAAATTTCACTTTGCTAGACTCGGGGCACGCACATATCTCGAATATTGATTTAGTCTTCTCGAACCAACAGGTTAAAGCAATGACACCTCTAGTGCCTTCAAAGGACTTGGGTTTAGCGTTCATGAAACCCTTGTAAGAGCACTCCCTTTGGTTCCCTTGACTATTTCCTTGAGTGGAAGGGATAGAACCACTACCCGCCCCGCTAGTATCACTTATGTGGATCTACGACATAGCTGCAGCCACGATGGTTGTCACTGCTGCTTGGGCAACAACAGGGTCATACAGAAGAGGTGGCGGCGGTGGTAGATTTGTTGGAGGGTTGTTTTTCCTCCTGTTGGACTTCTTCATAAGCATCTTTTTCTAAAAAGATTCAAGAGGAAATTACGATAAGTCCTTTGTAGTGTTCATGAGTCAGCTAGAACATTTCCTTGAGTCGGGGGTGTCAATCCCCATATGTATCTTTCCACATTTTTACTCCCTGGGGTGACCATCTCGGGACACAGAAGAGCCAGGTCACTGAACATATGTGTATAAACAGCGATATTGGAGCCCTTTATCTTCAGACTCCATAGCTCCTGCTCTAGTTTTTGCATTTTGCCCCTTGGGTAGTACTCCACTAGCATTAGTTCTTTCAAATCATCCCAAATCATAGCATTGGCTATCGGGAGATTCAGGAACTTAACTTGGCTGTTCCACCAAGTGAGGGCTCGATCTGTCAAAGTGCATGCTACAAATTTCACTTTGCTAGACTCGGGGCACGCACATATCTCGAATATTGATTTAGTCTTCTCGAACCAACAGGTTAAAGCAATGACACCTCTAGTGCCTTCAAAGGACTTGGGTTTAGCGTTCATGAAACCCTTGTAAGAGCACTCCCTTTGGTTCCCTTGACTATTTCCTTGAGTGGAAGGGATAGAACCACTACCCGCCCCGCTAGTATCACTTGTGTGGATCTACGACATAGCTGCAGCCACGATGGTTGTCACTGCTGCTTGGGAACAACAGGGTCATACAGAAGAGGTGGCGGCGGTGGTAGATTTGTTGGAGGGTTGTTTTTCCTCCTGTTGGACTTCTTCATAAGCATCTTTTTCTAAAAAGATTCAAGAGGAAATTACGATAAGTCCTTTGTAGTGTTCATGAGTCAGCTAGAACATTTCCTTGAGTCGGGGGTGTCAATCCCCATATGTATCTTTCCACATTTTTACTCCCTGGGGTGACCATCTCGGGACACAGAAGAGCCAGGTCACTGAACATATGTGTATAAACAGCGATATTGGAGCCCTTTATCTTCAGACTCCATAGCTCCTGCTCTAGTTTTTGCATTTTGCCCCTTGGGTAGTACTCCACTAGCATTAGTTCTTTCAAATCATCCCAAATCATAGCATTGGCTATCGGGAGATTCAGGAACTTAACTTGGCTGTTCCACCAAGTGAGGGCTCGATCTGTCAAAGTGCATGCTACAAATTTCACTTTGCTAGACTCGGGGCACGCACATATCTCGAATATTGATTTAGTCTTCTCGAACCAACAGGTTAAAGCAATGACACCTCTAGTGCCTTCAAAGGACTTGGGTTTAGCGTTCATGAAACCCTTGTAAGAGCACTCCCTTTGGTTCCCTTGACTATTTCCTTGAGTGGAAGGGATAGAACCACTACCCGCCCCGCTAGTATCACTTGTGTGGATCTACGACATAGCTGCAGCCACGATGGTTGTCACTGCTGCTTGGGAAACAACAGGGTCATACAGAAGAGGTGGCGGCGGTGGTAGATTTGTTGGAGGGTTGTTTTTCCTCCTGTTGGACTTCTTCATAAGCATCTTTTTCTAAAAAGATTCAAGAGGAAATTACGATAAGTCCTTTGTAGTGTTCATGAGTCAGCTAGAACATTTCCTTGAGTCGGGGTGTCAATCCCCATATGTATCTTTCCACATTTTTACTCCCTGGGGTGACCATCTCGGGACACAGAAGAGCCAGGTCACTGAACATATGTGTATAAACAGCGATATTGGAGCCCTTTATCTTTAGACTCCATAGCTCCTGCTCTAGTTTTTGCATTTTGCCCCTTGGGTAGTACTCCACTAGCATTAGTTCTTTCAAATCATCCCAAATCATAGCATTGGCTATCGGGAGATTCAGGAACTTAACTTGGCTGTTCCACCAAGTGAGGGCTCGATCTGTCAAAGTGCATGCTACAAATTTCACTTTGCTAGACTCGGGGCACGCACATATCTCGAATATTGATTTAGTCTTCTCGAACCAACAGGTTAAAGCAATGACACCTCTAGTGCCTTCAAAGGACTTGGGTTTAGCGTTCATGAAACCCTTGTAAGAGCACTCCCTTT